ATGCAAATCCAGCGAACTCGGCCTCCGAAACGCAAACAACTTTCATCTTTGCGATAGTGCGTATCGCTTCGGAACCAAACACGGAAAAACGCTAGCTTCAAAAGTGGCTCATGTACAATGTCATCTTTTCCAGCAATCGGCCTCCCTGAAGGAGGCGATGTTTCGTTTATGATCCTAGCCGCGGTACACTGCTACCGGTGCGTTGTTTGATAAGTTGAAAATACAAACTCAGCCGCCACCTTGGATCGTCTCTAAAGCCGTAGACCATGCCACCGCGCAGCCAGTATAGCTAGGGATGTTTGCGAGGTGGCTGGGCCGCGCATCTCGTTGATACGCACACAAAAACATCGCCTGGGTCTCGAGTATGAAGGGAAAAAGGCGCTCCAACGTATCTGTTCTCCCTATTCTCAGTGATCGATCCCCTAAAGTGGCGATGTATTTCTCTCTATTGCTGCGAGAGGGCCCGAGGGCTTGGAAAACCCAATTCACGGCCCACTGTTGTTGTTGGATGAGTATGAGTACATATGAAAAACGACCTCGATCGCGGTCCTCGCCGCCTCCTTTTACCAAACCGTCCATCACGCCGCTACCCTAAAATGTTGCTGTCTGGTGTGTCAAGGTGGCTGCTTGCTTACTAGGAAACGCAACGTAATGGCAAAGTGGATTCGCTATTTGTTGCTCAGATTCGCTTGCATCATTTCAATCGTGCGCCGCATAAACTCGAGCTGCGCCTCGCGCTCCGCTTTCTCCATCTCGAATCGCTCGTCGCGTTCGGCCTTTTCAAAGAGGAGCCGCTGCTCCTCGAGCTCAAGCTTGCGTCGACTCAAGGCGAGTTCCTCCTTCTTGACGGCAACTGCCTCTCTTTGGGCGGCAATTTCGTCTCGCTTGAGCGCGTTGGTCGACTCGATCATGCTAGTAAAGGCTGCGAGGACGCTCGCTAGATCGTTCGCCGCGCAGTCCTCTCCTTTGCTCTTCTTGGATAGCGTTTCAGCGCTGTCGTCCTCGTCCGGGACATCGTCGGTGGTTGCCTTGCGCTTAAGTCCTTGCTGCGCCGCCGCACGACTGCGGTGCGCATCTGGCTCACGCTTGTCGGTCTTCTTGTCCTTGTCGGTCTTGCTCGCTTTTTTCCTGTCCGCGGCCGCTTCCAACTACACACCGATTTATCTAAGGACAAGCAGACACTGCGAAATGGACGCACCAAGTCCGACATTTCCTCCAGTAGCACGTACCGCTGGCTCATCTCCTCTTCGGTGCCGGACGCACGCAAGCCCTTGACGGTGTCTGTCTTAAAGGCTGCCATGAGGTCGTCAAAGCGCTTGCGGCAGCCGGCCACCGTGAGGTGCTCGCCGTGGAGCGTGCGCATGTAGCTGGTGACGTCCTCCCAGCGCGCGGTGGTCTGCCCGTACGGAGCGTCGTGCGGAGCCACATTGATCACCTCCTCCAAGAGATCAATGTCCGTGTGCACGCTGAAGCGATACGTCGGCTTCTTGGACTTGGTTGGCTCGTCGCCCATGCGCGTTTTTGGTTTTGACAGGCAAAAATGGATGGTGAAAAGTCGGATCCCGAATTCTTTGAAATTCGAATCTAGAATTCTTGATGGTAAATGCCGCTTACTACAGACAAGATGGGGCCATTTAAATATCGGTATTTAAATTGCGATTTTTTCTATGGGTATTTTTATTTTTATTATTTCTCAAAACGGAAAGATCAGCTCGCGCGGGAAGGTGGCGCCACGCAGCAAGGCCAGTCGACCGGCCTCGGGCGGACTCTTGCAGCC